GAAGAGAGTAAATGAGCTGGTCTAAAACATGCTGCCACATTCCATATATATATGAGCACATTCCATTGCCAGTTGTCAGCGTTACAGATGTGGTCAAAACATATGACACCAGCTGTAAATCATAGCATCCTCATCTCCATAATTCTGAGTCGGCATTCTGTTTCCTTTGTTGCCGGCCAACATTTGCCTCCATATATTGCAGCAGTCCTTACGACAGTCCTTATGACAGATTTTAGGTGATCGGGGATCTTCTTGTCGCAGAGTACACCTGCTACTGAGTCCCATGTCATCCAAGCCGCGTTGATCCATGTGGTGACTTTGTCAGAAAGGTTGCCATCTGAAGTTACCGTTGATCTGAGATACTTGAAGGTGTTGACTTTTGGGAGATCCACTCTGTCTGTCTGCATGGTACCAGTGTCCTCCTCGTTGGTTATCAGGTACTCCGTCTTTTAGACATTGAGGCGAAGACCGTATTGCACCAACCAGTCACACCATGCTTGCACTTGGCGTTCAAGTTCTTCCTTGTCCTCAGAAGCAAGCATTATGGCATTGGCATACAGCAAAGTCCAAGGTGCCAGCTTCAGCAGATCTCTAGTAACTGCATCCATCGCAACAATGAAAAAGAGGGAATTGGTGAGCCCTGATGCACACTGATGATGATGGGGAACTCTGACGAAGTGCCAGTAGTGGCCTGCATCCTGCTTTTTGATCGCTGTACAGAATCTGAACCCAGTTGATCAGTTCTTCGGGAACAGCATGTTGTTGTAATGCGTACTAAATAACTTCATTAGGGACACAATCAAATGCTTTATCCAAATTGAGGGATGTGTCATATAGAAATAAAAAGTTAACATAAAATACTTATAGGCCTCTCTTGGCCTAAAATGGTCCAGAAGTCCCCCAAACAAGATGAGCACATTCATAGACAGCAGGCTTAATAGCTATTAACTAACAATATATATATATTATTGTTAGTTATATATATATTGTTAGTTAATAGCTATTAAGCCTGCTGTCTATGAATGTGCTCATCTTGTTTGGGGGACTTCTGGACCATTTTAGGCCAAGAGAGGCCTATAAGTATTTTATGTTAACTTTTTATTTCTATATGACACATCCCTCAATTTGGATAAAGCATTTGATTGTGTCCCTAATGAAGTTATTTAGTACGCATTACAACAACATGCTGTTCCCGAAGAACTGATCAACTGGGTTCAGATTCTGTACAGCGATCAAAAAGCAGGATGCAGGCCACTACTGGCACTTCGTCAGAGTTCCCCATCATCATCAGTGTGCATCAGGGCTCACCAATTCCCTCTTTTTCATTGTTGCGATGGATGCAGTTACTAGAGATCTGCTGAAGCTGGCACCTTGGACTTTGCTGTATGCCAATGCCATAATGCTTGCTTCTGAGGACAAGGAAGAACTTGAACGCCAAGTGCAAGCATGGTGTGACTGGTTGGTGCAATACGGTCTTCGCCTCAATGTCTAAAAGACGGAGTACCTGATAACCAACGAGGAGGACACTGGTACCATGCAGACAGACAGAGTGGATCTCCCAAAAGTCAACACCTTCAAGTATCTCAGATCAACGGTAACTTCAGATGGCAACCTTTCTGACAAAGTCACCACATGGATCAACGCGGCTTGGATGACATGGGACTCAGTAGCAGGTGTACTCTGCGACAAGAAGATCCCCGATCACCTAAAATCTGTCATAAGGACTGTCGTAAGGACTGCTGCAATATATGGAGGCAAATGTTGGCCGGCAACAAAGGAAACAGAATGCCGACTCAGAATTATGGAGATGAGGATGCTATGATTTACAGCTGGTGTCACATGTTTTGACCACATCTGTAACGCTGACAACTGGCAATGCTTTGGCAGTTGTCTCAGATGGTATGGTCATGCTCTCCGAGGTGAAGATGAGTCCATTCACAAAATTGCTCTTGATTTAGAAGTGCCTGGCAAGAGACCAAAGGGATGATCGAAGTAACACTGGCTGGACACGTTGCACAACGATCTGAAGACTGCTGACATACAACCAGGCACATGACCAGGTGAATGGCGCCAACAAACTAGTAATGCAGACCTTGCCATCAAGTGAGACAATTGCTGAAGAAAAAGAAGTTAACATTCTATTCCTAAAAAAACCAAAACCCTGTTCTGTGCCTAAAATTGCCCAAGGATAGATAGAAAAAGATGGGTGAAGTGCACAAAACTCCGAGAGGATATATTGAATCATTTAAGGTCCATCTTGTTTTTACCCCTGAAAGGACTGGGGTGGCACACAATGGGCCTGTAACATTATATAAGTCGGACAAACTGTACTTTGCCCAGTCCTGAGACTTGGTGAGTACTTCTCAGGACCAGTTATCAATTCCTTAAAAACACCTGAAATGTTACATGCCAAGAATTACAAGTCAAGGCTTGCAAAGATTTGTATATGAAAAGAATGTACTGTAATATTCTCACAGGAGAGATTGCTATAAAATGTGTTATGCAGTGAAGATCACCGACATTTGTGTAGCTCATAAAGAATTTCTTTCAGGATTGGTGTATGCAAGGAAGAGCCAAGAAATCCTGCAGTGAAGCATGAAGAGAGTAAATGAGCTGGTCTAAGCTTCTTTGCTTCTCAGATGCGCATAGATGCAGGAGAAGAGCATCTTGGCATCAATCTTCACTTGGCTTTGCTCTCCATCTTCCCCTTTTTCCACCACCACCACCACAAAAGCACTTAAGGCTGAAAATATGAAACTAGCTGTGAAGACCAAGCCGGCATAGAATAGCAGTCAAGTATAGGGCAGCCACTAGAAAAAATCTGGACCATGAAATTCACTGGGTGATCTTTTGCCTGTCACTATTTTGTAACCTAACTTAATAGGGATAGGGAAAATCTCTAAGTTCCTTGAGGAAAAGATAGTTGGGTTGTTGTAAGTTTTTTGGGCTGTATGGCCATGTTCTAGAAGCATTCTCTCCTGACGTCGTGAGCAACCTCTGAGGATGCTTGACACAGATGCAGGTGAAACATCAGGAGAGAATGCTTCTAGAACATGGCCATACAGCCCAAAAAACCTACAACTCAGTGATTCCGGCCATGAAAGCCTTCAACAATACATTGAAAAGATTGTTGCTACACACATATACAAATATTACATTATTCCCAGAATCCCTGAGCTGATTCTGGTAGCTGTAGTCAGAGAATGTAACTTTCCTAAGCTCTGCTGTACACTGATGATCTGCTCCATTGGCAAATGCTTTCTCTAGAAGCTTAGAGGGCTTTTATATAGAGGGGTTCTATCACACATGCTTCCAAACAAAGCACATTACATTTTGATGGCACAGGACCATCAGTGGGTTAAAAATAGACAGCTGCCCTGGATGATGTACAAGTGGCATCCGTCCAGGCTGTTGCTCCTGCTCCATCTCATACTCTCTCAGCACCACATCAAGGGCTTCTAACTACTTTGCATTTACTGTGCAAAACAAGTCTTGCAGAAAGACCTTTAATTGGGGACAATACCTTATAGCTTCTGAAATTGAGAGGTAACGGCAGGAAACAGTTATTTCCCGTGTACAACATTTATGCCACATGTCCCATGGAGCTGCTGGTGGATTGTGATTTCTACTAATTTACTGCATCTTCTGCTTGTTCCACCAAAATACTTCTACAAAATGTTCACAAGAGCATGCCTTCTTTCTGTATTCAGTTAATTTTAATTGTCTCATTATCTGGGCCTACCTGGCTTTTTAAAAATAGCTCTGTCATCCCACATCATACATCAAAACACAGGAGACTGTTCAAGGAGATGAATATGGAGATTTTTTGAATATGTACTGTATGGAGCAAGTAAACCATCCACTCATCCATTTTTTCAGTCTCCTTTTCTGTCCCATTTTTTCTTGTGTCGTGTCTTTTGACTATGATTTTTAAAGGACTTTGCTTGAACGGTGCGGTGAAAATCATTCCAAATATTACAGTCGTATAGTTATAAAACCTCTAATAAACCTTGTGGTTTATTTGTTCAGTCGCTTCGGACTCTTCGTGACCTCATGGACCAGCCCACGCCAGAGCTCCCCGTTGGCTGTCTCCACCCCCAGCTCCTTCAAGGTCAAGCCAGTCACTTCATGCATAACAGCCATCTATCTTGTCCTTGGTCGGCTCCTATTCCTTTTTCCTTCTTTTTTCCCTAGCATCATTATCTTCTCCGAGCTTTCCTGTCTTCTCATTATGTGGCCAAAGTACTTCATATTTGCCTCTAACATCCTTCCGTCCAGTGAGCAGTCCGGCATTATTTCCTGAAGTATGGACTGGTTTGATCTTCTAGCGATCCAAGACACTCTAAGAATTTTCCTCCAGCACCACAGTTCAAAAGCATCTATCTTCCTTCACTCAGCCTTCTTTATGGTCCAGCTTTCACATCCATAGGCCACTACGGGGAATACCATTGCATTAACTATGCAGACCTTTTTTGCCAGTGTGATAGCTCTACTCTTCACTATTGATTGTTCATTGCTCTTCTCCCAAGAAGTAAATGTCTTCAATTTCCTGGCTACAGTATGCGTCTGCAATAATCTTCACGCCTAGAAATACAAATTCTGTCAATGCCTCCACGTTTTCTCCCTCTATTTGCCAGTTATCAATCAGTCTGGTTGCTATAATCTTGGGGGGAGGGGGGAGGGCTGGGTGTTTAATAGCAACCCAGCTTTTGCACTTTCTTTTTTCACCTTGGTTAAAAGGCTCCTCAGCTCCTCCTCGCTTTAAGTCATCTCAAACTACTCTAATAAAACTGCTCTATTTAAATTTCATTTTAAAAATATGTTCCTGAAGTATTATGAAAGTATTCCAGAATCTCTTCCATTTTCTCCACTGTGCCATTTATTTCTTGTATCACACAACCAATTCAATTTATATAAAGGCAATTAATATTTCTGGGGATCTACTGGTCAGTAGTCCTAAGTTCAAGTCAGAATTTCTAGGAAGTGAAAGTAAAAAGAGGTTTGAGTGTATTTTCAGCTTTTATTAACCCAAAAATCAATACCAATTGGAAAGAAACTTCAGAATGAAAACTTCTTGAACAATATTATTTGCCATCTTTTCTAAATGCAACTAATCAATGTAGTCAAAGTCTTCTGGAATACCAAAGGTTTTGTCAATTTTACTATCTTCAAATCCAAATTTCCGTTTGGCCCAAGATTTTACTGCAAAGATATTATCTGCAGACAAAACGAGAGGGAGGAAAAACATGAGCGTGAAATAAAAAGAGTTTCTTCTCACAAGAAATAATAATTTGGGAACTAATTTGTCAGAAATTGGGAAATCTTAGGTGCTGATGCTCAACCTGACATTCTGCAGTTTCCCAAATGGCTGCTACTACTTCTATCATATAGGTAAAATTATACAAAAATTACTGGCAAAATGTTGACCTACCTATGGTATTTAAACAATTTAAAACAAACATCCGAAATAATAAAATCAGTAAAACAACACACTGTTAAATACCCTTACAACGAGTTCCCCAAAACCTGCTGGACCAGAAACATTTTCAATATGTTGTTGAAAGTTTTCATGGCCAGAATCACTGGATTGCTGTGAGTTTTCCGGGCTGTATGGCCATGTTCCAGAAGCATTATCTCCTGACATTTCACCCACATCTATGGCAGGCATACTCAGAGGTTGTGAGGTCTGTTGGAAACTAGGCAAGTGAGGTCTACATATCTGTAGAATGTCCAGGATGGCAGAAAGAACTCTTGTCTGCTCGAGGCAGGTGTGAATGTTGCAACTGGCCATCTTGATTAGCATTTAATAGGCTTTCAGCGTCAATTCCTGACTAGTTGCTGCCTGGGGGAATCCTTTATTGGGAGGTATTAGTTGGCTCTGATTGATTCCATGTCTGGAATTCCCCTGCTTTTTAAGTGTTGCTCTTTGTTTATTGTCCTGATTTTAGAGTTTTAAAACTTTGAAGCTGCAAAGCCATTAAATGCTAATCAAGGTGGCCAATTGCATCATTCACACTTGCCTCAAGCAGACAAAAGTTCTTTCTTCCACCCTGGACATTCCACAGATATATAAACCTCACTTGCCTAGTTTCCAACAGAGCCTTCAACCTCTGAGGATGCCTGCCATAGATGTGGGCTAAACGTCAGGAGAGAATGCTTCTGGAACATGGCCATACAGACCAGAATACTCCCAGCAACCCAGAAACATTTTCACCTCTCAATGGAAAGACAGCAAAGAAGGAACCTCCACAGGAAGACATTTCTAGAGGTTGGGAGTATCCATTGAGAAGGCCCTCTCCTATATTCTGCATAATACATGTCTCTTAGCGTAGCAGGACCAAAAGATGGGAATACCTCTGAATATCTCAGAGGTAGGATAGGCTCTTCGGACATCCTTGATCAGAGCTGGGATATCATGAATCTGTGATTTGCCAGCAAACTATACACAAGTCTGCATGCTTCTTTTTCCCATACTAAAAATAAACCATGGAATGCCTCTCCTGAGGGCTATGTACTGGCAGGAGAAGCTTTAAGTTAAAATATGCTGCTATTTTTGGTCCCAGACTGTTGCCCTTGATTTCACCCACCAATGGAATAGAGCCTCTGAGACTTTTTCTTTAACTCTACTTGCCTAATCTGGTAAGTGGTGAATGTACATTTGGTTTCCCATTTTCCCAGTCCTTATGCAGCCAAATCCTGGATCTTCAGGTACACTTAACAAAGGGAGCAGGTTGAGCTCCCTCTGTCAGCTCCAGCTTGCCATTCGGAAACATGAGAGAAGCCTCTCACAGGATGGTAAAACATCCAGGCGTCCCCTGGGCAACGTCCTTGTAGACGGCCAGTTCTCTCACACTAGAAGTGACTTGCAGTTTCTTAAGTCGCTCCTGACACGAAAAAAAAAGGTACACTTAAGGCTGCGCTGCTGAGATTAGGTTTCTCATATAAAGCAATTGTGATGGACAATTTGTAGCATGCATCTCACTCATATCTCTCTTTTCTTCAGAATGGCAGACTTCACTAAAGAAAAGATTTTATGTACTGCTAGCAACCAATTTACTTGCCAAAACCTCACTCGTTAATCAAGGGGTAACAGTTTTTAAAGTTTTATGAATGATTGGGCTTCTTCCTTCAAGTTTATTTTTGGTCAAGGAAAGGGGAGGAATTCTACTAAGGAATGTAAACAGACACGCACCAGTCCATCTGTTGGCTGCTTCCTTCGCTATTTTATTTGCTTGGCCTGCAAAAACAAGAAACAAAGAAAAGAAAATTAGCACAATAATATCTAGATCCATAATGCAACAAACCCAAAAGGATTTAAAATTATATTTGTGAAGCTGTTCTATGAACAATGAGCAAAATTCCAGTTTTTTGAGGTTTTTAAAATGTTTGCATACTTAATACTCATCCAACCCACAAATATAAAGTGGGGGAAAAACTTTGTGAAGAGGTAGACTCTGCCAGTGTGCTAAAGATAGGAAAATCCTACACTTGTGATTATGTTTTTGTTGAAATACAAATTTCACATTATCTAACCAAAAAAGATGGCAATGGAAATTAAAATTAGTACTAACAAGGGAACCAGAAATATCAAATAAGTAAAATTTACTAAATAGTATGAAAATAAATAGTTGCAAATGTACCGAACTGTTCTGAACACAGAGTAAAAACTGATGATCAATTAGGATAAGACCTGACTATTCAGATTCTGGCCCCATCTACACTGCCGTACAATGCAGTTTGACACCATATTACATCGTAAAAGTAGACTCAAGTAATGTGGTTTAACTGCACTGAATGACATTCTATGAGTCTACACCAGTTGTTTCCAGCCTGTGGTCTGTGGACCACCAGTGGTCCGCAAGAAATAAAATACAATCCGCAGCTTCACCATTACTACACGATTGCAACAAGAGCCACTGTTCTCGCAAAACCCTCTTATAGTGCCAAGCATTAACAAAATCCATGGATAATAACACAGCCCAACAAAAAAAAAACTCCAACTTTTTTCTTGGTGTCTTCATTTTTAGGGTTATTTGGGGTGCTGATTCAGAAAATGCATTGGATAGACAGCATCAGCTCTAGATTATTAAATGATTTTCTGTGGGTGAGCAGATAGCGACTCCTGAATGGCATATGTTCTGCATCAGAAACTGGAGCTGATGTGGTCTAGCCAATGCAATTTTCTGAATTAGCACCCCAAATAACCAAACCGAAATCTAAAGTTGACCAAAAACTGATTTGTAACCCTTTTGGTGACGTAGTGGGTTAAACCGCTGAGCTGCTGAACTTGCTAACTGAAAGATTGGCAGTTCGAATCTGGGAGGAGGGTGAGCTCCCGCTGTTAGGCCCAGCTTCTGCCAACCTAGCAGTCAAAAACATGCAGACAATTGTGAGTAGATCAATAGGTACCGCTTTGGCAGAAAGGTAACAATGCTCCATGCAGTCATGCCAGGAGGCGTCTATGGACAACACTGGCTCTTTGGCTTAGAAATGGAGATGAGCACCAATTCCCAGAGTTGGATATGACTAGATTGAATGTCAGGGGAAACCTTTACCTTTACCAAACCCTTTTGGTGCTGATGTTGCGAGAGTGGTCCCTGTTCAGAGTGGTCCCTGTCAAAAAAAGGTTGGGAACCACTGGTCTACACTGACCACAAAATGCCATTTCAGACTGCATTGGTGTAGATGTGACCTCTAGTGTAGCTTAGACAGATCTTACTGCCACACTCTTCAGATCTTTAGTACAGTATATCCAGATCTGAAGTCATAGACACTGTTTCCTAAGGTGAACTACTGAGAACATTTGCACTGTTGATATGACAGAGCCAAAGAAAACGTTACCCAAAATTAAAAGGAACATCAACGGAGATAGTTCTCATTCCCTCTTCTGCTATAGATAGATTAGAGACAGATTCTAAGAAAGTACAGATTAATTCCAAAACCTTTCTCTAGTTTATGCTCAAATTTAAATAATGTAAACATTTTTATATTATTAGAGACAGCTTGCTTTTTTCTGGAGCTGTCTGTCTGTTCCTTTCAGGCACTGTTCATCATGATGGCAATTTATTCAACAAACCACTGTTACATAAGAACCAGCACCTCCTGCAATAAAACACTAACTTTCGTGAAATTCTTTTCACATTGAGATTCATGAGTCCATGCTCCCAATACAAAGAGACAACTTATGGAGCAAAGGCAAAGGAAAAAGTCAGCCCTAGGAAACCACTTAAGCATGCAGCACAATAAAATATTTCCTTGGAAGGATCACATATGAATTGTAGATGAAACAAACAGATCTACTTATAGACTTGCTCATGAATCAAACCAATGCCAGCCGTCTCTCCTCTCCCCCCGCCCTTAAAGTCTATGGGCTCAAGACAAATTCCCATAGTGAAACCTTGAAAGAGCTGTCATCTTTCCCACACCCCACACACCCTTTTGTCTTTCCAGAGCTTGCCAAACTTTATTCATTGGCAGTGGTCAAGGCATTGCCTAAAGCTTGTCTCTAGGGAGGCTGAGAAATTAAGTCAACATAACATTTTTCAATGATATCAGTGACTGTACTGCAAGAAGGGCTTACTTAACTTGCAAAACAAACCACTACCAGACAATCCCAAAAAGGGGTTAGTGTACACAACTCAACTCTTCAGCTCTTACTTTGGTCGATAACCAACTGAATTTCACAGTATTTAAAACCTGCATTTGGAGTTATGTTTTTGAAACGAAAATTCACTAGAAAAGGAAGGGCCAACTGCACAATAAACAAAACCAGAGCTCTCAGACCCCAATAATTTCATCAGTCCCCTGGTCCAAGAAGTTAAGAGTTGAGGGTCTGGCATCTTACCCACCAAAAGCAAGCACAATTTCTGAATATGCAGTGAGAAACATTAGCACATCTAACTGGTGTCATAAATTTAAATGCCAGCTGCAGAAAAATGACTGTAAAATGAAATCTCTAGAAGTTTGTAGAATTCGCATAGTTCTGGAATGGCATGGAGCTATGAATGCTACTGGAATATAACTTGAAATTGTGTTAGTTCTCCAGATTTCAACAGGTATATGCCCACATATGTGAACTCTTACTGTAATTGGTAAGCAGTAATCTTTTAAAAGAAGGAGAGAAAAAAAACATATTCTTAGATACCAAATGTTTTCTACAAGAATAAGCAGAACATGTAGTCTGAAGCAACATGTAGATTTACTGAGCTGTTCTGCTTTCAGAAGGAACTTCATCCTTCATGACTGCATCTTCCTCCATAAAGCTACTCGAGCTCTCCGATCCTCTGGGGAGGCCCTCCTCTCACCTCCACCTTTATCACAAACATGGCTTGTGAGGACAAGGGAGACGGTCTTCTCAGCTGTGGCCCCCTAGCTCTGGAATGGGGCATGCTTGATCTACCTGTTTGTTTGTTTTTTGTCATGTCAGGAGCGACTTGAGAAACTGCAAGTCGCTTCTGGTGTGAGAGAATTGGCCGTCTGCAAGGACGTTGCCCAGGGGACGCCTAGATGATTTGATGTTTTTATCATCCTTGTGGGAGGCTTCTCTCATGTCCCCGCAAGAGGAGCTGGAGCTGATAGAGGGAGCTCATCCACCTCTCCCCAGATTCGAACCTGCGACCTGTCGGTCTTTAACCCACTGCGGCACCAGGGGCTCCATCTACCTGGTGAGATCAGGCAAGACCCCACCCTGGCAGCTTTTAAGAAAGATCTAAAAACCTGGCTCTTCCGATGTGCCTTTGGCAAATGAATATATATCTCACATTTAGTCTGTCCCTATTACAGCTCTGTCCTCATGATGCACTTTCCTCTGACTCTAATGAAGGCTCACCCCCACTTTTTGGTGTTTTTTGAGTTCCCTCCTCAGAAACACATTCTTCCTTAGAAACATATCCCACCTATCTCATCCAGGGTTTTATCAACTTCTATCAATTTTATTTCTTGTTCATTTGGCTCGCCCAGTGTATTCCCATTTTTCTTTCATGTCATTCTGGAACTGTTTATTTTATTTTGTTCTGTTATGTTTATATTTATTTTGATGGCATTTTGCTTCTTTGTATTTTATTTTGCTGTATTTGTATGCTAGCTTTTGAAATTTTGGGCTTGGCTTCATTTTAGCCGCCCCGGGTCCCCTTTGGGGAGATGGTGGCAGGGTATAAATAAAGATTATTATTATTATTATTATTATTATTATTATTATTATTATTATTTCTTCCACTTTGGTGATACACTCAAAGAAAATACACTTGCATTTTCTTGTTCTGTCAACTATACAACAAAAACCAAAGGATGGAGATACATGGAAGCAAGTGGCAGCCGTGACACGTTCAGGGAAAAATTCAAAAAACGAAAGCAGCAGTTCAGTTCACCTCCCATTAATGACTGTGGAACCAAGTTCTAAGCAAAAGCTTTTTTTTAATTTGGAACAGAGAGAAAAAAGGACCCAAATAGGTCAACACTGTGCGGGCAGCCCTGCTAAACCCAGTCTATGGTGGTAGACAAGTGTATTTGTGTAGAGTTGACAGACATCTTTTGTTACTTAGCCCTCACAAACCCTATCAGACCCTTTATGGAAAGACAGTGCTTATGGACTGATGAGATCTGACAGTCTGACCTTTTCGCAAGGGACACAGAAAGCCTGCACTGATGGGACTTGACAAGAGGATATTTTTAAGGTTCACACAGATGCAATGTTTTAACAATGCAGCCTCACAAACCCACAGCTATACAGTAGTGTTTAATATGCTCTTGGATGGAGAGACAGATGCAACAGTGTTATATGCATTTCCTTCATTTCACAGAAGGCCTCTACAGATGTTGGGTCAAAGACAATGCATAATTAACAGACACAATGAAACTCTTTCAAGGAGTTCGTTGAGGATAATAACAGCCAACATCTCTAAAATCTGTCCTTTTCTGCATTACCATACTACAGCCAAACACAAGTTATGGAGCAGCTTAACACTGAAAGAAAAGAAAAGTTAATTCATTCAAATTCTGGATCACGTCAGAAAATAAATTTTATGGTAAGTGGTGAACTCATGGACTTTTGTGTCTTCAGTAATACTTAATCTTTTCATGCCATGATCCTGTGTTCAATATGTGAGGCACTCCATATAACTCTGCTGCTAAAGTAAAAGTGACAATAGCTAACAGAACATAAGACAAAAGTGTTGAATGAAACTCAGAAGCTTGTGGAAGAACTCAAAACAATGTTTTTGACAATTAGATGGAACCATATGGACTTGCAAGAAAACAAAAAAAATGAAACTGTGCATGCGTGTAATAATGCAAAGTGAACCAAACACAAAATGGAATGGACAGAAGCAAAGCAAATTATGGATATGCAGACTTGTACCAAAAATACACTGGGAAACAAATTTTGCTCTGGCAATATAGTCTGATGTACAAACCAATATTACCATGTCCCTAGCTTTCCTATTCATCTAATCAATTATTAATTATCCCATATGAATATCATTCTTGCTCCCAAGATTCACAACCAACTTCTAAGATATGCCAAGGCAAAATATTGCTGACAGCCAACCAATGAGTTTCAAAGGTGAAAAAAAATCTTTTTTTCCCATCTAGTAGTTTGTTGTCATTTGTTTCAACGTCTCTTGAAACAAATATGTATTCAAATCTGTTGGAAATAGCAACCTTCCAAGCCTTCACTATTTGTTTGTTAACGTAGTTATTTGCTAACCTGTATTGTATGTATATATTGATTTTCCAGTTTGACTGTACTTCTTTGGTGTGGGAGGGGCTACAGAAATGTGATTGTACTGAGCATGTTCAGACTCAAGGTTCCATTTTGTTATCAGTATGTTTTTGGACTTCAATGCTAGCAGTTCGCTTTAGACCTCAGTGGAGGTGGATGCAGTATGCTTTTGGACTTCAGTGGAAGCAGTTTGTATTTGGACTTATGCAGGAATAGTTTACTGTATGTTTGCTTTGAGAAGCAATGAGTTATACAGTTTGAACTTTCATAAGATGCATATTTAAAGACTTTGGACTATGGACTGTTGATTAAGAATGATGTCCTATGTTCTCAACATTGAGAAACTAGACCTATATAATTGAACTTTAATAAGAAATGTGCCTGTATGGTGAATTAATACAAGATGTTTGTGAGTAAACAAGATATGTTACTTTTTAAAGAAGACTTTATTTTTTGTCTTGTAAGTGCATATTTTAAACTAAGAGGTTTCAAGGGCGAGTATATGTTTTGTGCAGTGGCATGTCTTTGTCCCTGGCAGTTCAAAGACATGGTTCTTCAGTTTAACAGCTGAGTTACCCGTGTACCATTGCATGAATGCTTGTGGACATCACTTTTTCAAAGGGTTGACTTCTATCAAAGTCATGGCTTTCCTTGACTAGTGATTTTCAAAAGGTGGTCTCCAGATGTTCACAGAGATTCACATTTGCCAAAAGGATATGTCATAATTTTTTTACTTTTCAAAAAGATTATGAATGCCACCCCCCCCCCAACCAGACTTCAAATCTTTTCTTGTTTAAGTGCTACTTCATATATTTATTAAGTAGACTATTATTATACATACTCCCCTCAATACCAGATCCCCCCCTTGCCACTCCCAAATTATTAAAATATTTTGCCAGTAGCAACCAAGGATTGTTAAGCTATAACAATTTCAATGTCTACAAAACATACATATTAGGACAAATGACAAATCACATGGCACTTCCTGCACCTTACATACTAACTGTTGGCTTAAAACATGGTAGTGGTCATTGTCATGTCATCAATATTAAGTACAGTACACAGTCTTTAGTTCAGTTTATTTTTGTTTGGTGGACTCTGGGAGAAGGTTATCTACCTCCAACCGTACAGTATCATGGGTTGACAATACATTAAATACAGCTCTGGATGTGTACTTACGGGTTTCTTCAACAACTTCTGGATCACATTCTTTGTATTTATCTAGTTCTGCTTTTAGTTGCTCTTTCTTTTGTCGAAGGTCAGCAAGTTTCTTTATTAGCGCAGCGCGTTCTGCCTGGATCCATTTTATTTTGGGAAAATCAAAAAGAAATCTTAAATAGTAGCAATTATGATATGTGATTGTGGCTTTCTACTCTATTTTTCTTCTAAATATACAAGCTCCGATTTGTAGTTATGGCATACATACAAGGGGACAACTGTTACACCAGGCAGAAACAACTTATGGGTGGGTCAGGAGCCAATTCCCATGCAATATCTCTCCACAAGGCCAAATACCTTTCTTTTCATCTATAGATCTCCTCAAAATGCTGACAGGAAGCATAGATGTTTCTCTTCCTGTTGACATTTTGAGAGTAATTGCAAAAGGAAACATAGTTATTTGGAAGTAATAAGGGATGCTTGTGCAGTTGAGGTGTTTCTCTTCCTATTGTCATTTTGGAGCAAATGCAGAAAACCATATATTTTTGATTCTACAATGCACTCTTCATATAAACATCTTTTAATCATGGATGCGTGTGTGTGTATTTATATGTATGTATGTATGTGTATTTGTGTGTGTGTGTATAATGTTAGTGGTATTGAAATAATTGTGCATTTTAGAACTGATAGTATCTTAGCATCAAAGAAATACAGTAATTGTTATTTGGAAATAGTATGGGTTCTGTTGTCCTTGTGGCATAGAGGTGGGAGTATTTTTGTGTGCTTCAAGTATTTGGGTGGCTGAGTGATTTTAAGGTGAAAACTGCTCTATTTTAAAAAGAAATTTTTTTGAAGGATTATGAACTTTTCCACCTCTCCCCTCCCAAAAGTACAGTTCGCTGCCCACACTTGATCCATGCCTACTTTATACTAATGTGTGTTTGAAGTCTGAAATTAGGGCATAACCACCACCTAGAATACTTCTAAGTAAGCTGTTTCAGTGTTACACTGGTACAGCTGGAAAATTAGGGACAATATGGATACCACCTGCAGTTCTAGGTTTGAAGAGGATGTGCACCCTTGTGTTACATCAAGGGTTGGATCCAGGGGGCTGCTGGAATTCAAGGCATTGATGGAATGCCATCCAAATGTTATTTGTGCTCTCAATTGTAACCAGCACAGTCGATGATAAGGAACGCTGGGAGATGCAGTATGACAACATATGGAAGACTGCGTGATTCCCATCCTTCAGACCAGTAAATCTTTCTGTGACTTCCCTTTCCACACAATATACACATATCAGTGATATTTAGAGCTATTATGCAGAGAAAGTGGCTGGCAAACCTGACAAGTTCCCTTGATTCAATGGGTCTATTGTAAGGAAATGTATATCCTAAAATTTATACATTTGATTTCTAAAACAATAAAACTTACAGTATCTTGGCGTCCAATTTTTGATTTCGCAATATCATCTTCTAAAGTTTTTTTCTTCTGGCAATACTCCGAGAACTGAAATAAAAGGCAAACAATAAAAATCTAAACTTAAGGTCTGATTGTGAATTCATATTTTTTCCATCTTAATTAGGGTTTGGCAAAAAATTAGATATTTAATCGAGATGTGATTGTTTAAGAAACTCTCTGAAGTTTAAATATTAGAAGTTTGGAGTATTCAGTTAATATCTTTCCTGATTTATTTTCCTTCTAAAGGTGGGGGGTAATAACAATAAGTGACAAAGACAACAAACATGGCATTAAAGACCAAAACATTTATAATGGTATTATCTCTAAGGGCCCTTCCAGACAGACCCTATATCCTAGGATCTGATTCCAGGTTTTCTGTTTATCCCAGATTATCTGGCAGTGGGGACTCATATAAACCAGTTTAAAGCAGAAAACATGGGATCCGATCCTAAGATATAGGGCCTGTCTGGAAAGGCCTTACAATTCTATGGATCTCTACACAGTTTCTAATAGATTGAGATTCTCAATTGAGATCTTCCAGAACTTTATGAAACTGTAAACAATCATGATAAAAAATGTACACAAAAAAAAAAAACCCCCACACTTTGTTGAGCTGCAATTAAGATATTTTTTATGCAGAGGTTCCCTGAGACGTGAAAATTATTTGAAGTATTCATCTTGGGTTAGAAAAAACAGGTTAGGAAAGCTGTGTTAGACTAATAGCTATTTCTCTGGAAATTAATTTCAAGTGGCTAAATAGGATGTTTATCTAATATTAGGAAATAAACAACTTTTTCAGAGGCACAAACAAAAAACAGCAAGCTAATACACACAATGTAGTTTAGGTTGATTTGTGTCTTATAGGAAGATTGGTTTCTGTGCTTTCCTGTGCTACAAATAGCATTCCTATCTATAAGTGTTTTATCTCATTTTCCCACTCCTATTACTACTTTCCCCATTTAAGGCACTGTGTACAAGCAAAAGCCTTGCGGATTTCCCTATAAATTTGCATTCCAGCACCTCTGAACAAGAGGTGAGAGAGACACATATTGCCACTGAATACAGCAACCTGAGCTTAGTTGTAAAACATAAAGCAGTCTGCATGTGGGTTGCACCATTTCAGTTTGCAACTTCTCTTTTGGGCATCTTGTAATGATGGTAGTGGGAAGCTCTATGCCGCTCAAGACCTTTCCCATGTTGAGAGAAAAAGTGTTCAGGTAATGGGTTAGATGAAAAGTTTTGCTTTGCTGCAAACAGTCCCAGTACTAAATGCAGTTTAGATATACTTCCCCTTCCCTTCAGCTAAGCAATCAGAACTGTTTCCAAGCTAGTGTGCCATTTCAGCTTTTGCCATGGTGACAAAATTCTATTTTTGCAATACTTTCTTTATGGAGACTGTTGGAAGGAAATACAAGTACAGTCACTTACTGATGTAAGTCATTGTTGGTTATGCCTACCCTACATTATTGATATCGAAGACCCCGGACCCCACCCCTAATAAAAAGAATACATAAGCTAGTACCAATTTCTTTTAGCATTTTATTCTTTGTTTTATTATGTTATTGTCATTATTTTATTCCATTACTATGTTACTGTTAAATGTTTTTATTTGACATTGTTGTCTGTTCTGTATGTATTTTATCTTGCTTTATTGTCATTATTTGGGCTTGACCTCATGTTCGCTGCCCCGAGTCCCTTCGGGGAGATGGTGGCAGGGTATAAATAAAGATTATTATTATTATTGCTATTGTTATTATTATAAACTGAATTCCACAATGTATTTTTCCCCAAGGACAGAGGGCCTAATGAAATGGAAATATCCTCCATCCTCATGGTCTCCCCGGGGCTTCCTCAGAACCAGCAGCAACCAACCTCGAATACCCAACATGCACCCCAACCCAGTGGCTTGGCTTGGGCTGATCTGCTCCAGCTGATCTCTGCAGCATCAGCGTCCAGCTGATCTCCCTCTCCCAGCCAGGAAGCTGTTCAGATGGCCACAAAGTAACCCAAGCATTTCCACTTCCCTAAGCCCTGCTACTTTGTATTCCTCCTTCCCTTGCTACTATGTACCTCTTCTTATTTCTCTACTTGTATTATTTTTATTATTCTTTCTGTCTTCTGCAAATATGTGCATAAATGGATAAGGAAAAATATAATAACCGATGATCCCCTCAGCTGCTGCTCAGCCCTAGAAACTAGGACTCAGAGCATGGGTTCAAATTACAGGAAAGGAGATTCCACCTGAACATTAGGAATAACTTCCTGGTTATAAGAGCTGTTCAGCAGTGGACCTCTCTGCCTCTGAGTGTAGTGGAAGCTCCTTGCTTGGAGGCTTTTAAACCTTGGAGAAATTTTTAATCTAGATGGTTGGATGGTCATCTGTTGGGGGTACTCTAACTGTGCTTTTCCTGCATGGCAGGAGGTTGGACTAGATAGCCCATGATTCTATGAAACCACTGGCTCATATGGCAGAGCTTTTTTTTTTCTGATTGGCAGCTATTCTCCAGATTTTCAGATTTAAGCTTTTCCAGATAGTTTCTGCATGGAAGGTCAATGCCCTACTATTAAACTTTGGTGGTAGAAGCAATAGGCCTTGGTGTTTATTATACATCTCATCCTGGAACCTTATGTTGCTTCCATCATCAATTTGTTTTGGCAAGTCCCTTGTTATGCAATCTACTCCCATAAAATGATATGGTCACCCTCTTCCATGTGCCCTATATTTCCTTAGAAAGTGTTGACACCATGGTGAGCAACACAGCTATTAATAACTTGGAACCAGTTGTAGATGTTAAGATTCTGCTTCATCACAGCATACCACTTACTCTCTGTGAAACAATTAGAATGCCTATGTCAGGACCATTGTATGAAGGCTAGGGTCAATTACCTGAACTACAAACCCTGGATAGCAGCCAAACAGATTCCTATCAGCAGCTTCCCAACCAAATGGCAACCATAAGTAATGTCTCATCACTTCCAGTTTCTGTTTTGGGTGGCATACAGCCAGAAAAGGAGGTATTGGGGGATTTGGGGGAAGGTGGTTTTGGTACATCTGGGGATCATTTACAAATGGGGCTCAGGATTCACATGCAGCTCATAGGCTTCACTTCCCATGTCCCTGCTATATACTAAGAGGAAAAAATATAATGCAATCCAAAGGCTAAATTCCAAATAGAGGAAAAACAACAACTATAACGCAACCTAGAAAATCACCAAAGCAAAGTGAAGGGGATACAAACAGTGGACAACATTTAGTCTCAAAGTTTGAGGTTTTCAATTTGTTGTATTTCTTGGGGTACAAAATCTGTATGCCCAAATACCCTAAAGCCGTGGTTCTTAACCTGTGGGTCCCCAGATGTTTTGGTCTTCATCTCCCAGAAATCCTAACAGCTGGTAAACTGCCTGGGATTTCTGAGAGTTGTAGGCCAAAACACCTGGTTGAGAAACACTGCCCTAAAAGCACCAGATCCTATCTGATCATAGAAGCTTAGCAAGGTCAGCTCTGATTACCACTTGGCTGGAAGACCACCAAGGAATACCAGATGCTGTAAGCTATATTTCATAGGAAAAAACTGGCAAAATAATTTCTGAGTATTCCTTGCCTAAGAAAACCCTAAGAAATTTATGGGGCCACTATAAATTGTCAGGAGACTTCAAAACACATATACATACACACAGGATCATACCAAGAGGAATGTGAACAACAACCCATGTATGGTGACTAGAAGATGATTTAAACTCCCTGTTACTGCTGCCTCTTGGAATTGAAACACTATGAATGTTCACAAAACCCCTGGACAGCTGCCATCCATGGGTGGTGAACTATGTTCTGTCTAATGGGTCCTAAATTGTACAACAACAAAGAAGGAAATTACAACTATACATGGTATGGATTCAACCAGTTTGTGCACACTAATTGTTGGGTGCTGTCATGTACCGAGTCACTAAAGTAAGCTTGAAAAAGTTACCTTTTTGCATTTACAGCTTCCAAAATCCCCCAGCAAGCATAAACACTAGCTGTGAGAAAAAGATCCACTGCCTGGACAATTCCCCTACCGACGCTTACGCTGTCAAACATTTCAAGTATAAGTGCCATGGAATACATATGACATCTATAATGTACATAGATGTGGGTGGGTAGCTACACTATATTTCTAAGGCTTCTGCTTACATAGCACTTTCTGAAAACTGAGAATGGTTCACAACTTATCATGCAAGCTACATTGCGAAGGTTCTGTTCTACTGACTCACTGACAAGTACTTGCAGCTCCCACTCTGTCCTCAGCACCTTTTATGGTGAAGCATTTCAAAAATATGTCCTAGTACAAGGATATCTTTTACAGAGCTACTCTCCTATTTTGTTTTGTTTTTTAACTCCCTGTCAGAATATCAGTTTTGGATCTCAATCTTCCAGGTCACAACCCTTTAAGCACTCAAACCAGAAAAAATTCTTAACCTTGTTATACCACTGTTTCAGTCCTATTCACCAGAAGCTACTTGCAGTTTCTCAAGTCGCTCCTGACATGAAAATAAGTCCTTTACAGAGTGAAAAGGCTTCTGCAAATTTCACTGCTAAACACAGACTCAAAAACATGCTTAAATAAAATAAATGAAATCTGACTTTTAAAGAAGCATATTTACAATCATGATATGGGCCATACATATGTACGTAATGTCTGTAAGTGAAGTCAACATCCCTTAAATCCAAGCATTGCTATACCTTGCTTATTTGAGGCAGGTAAACTATTATTCAAGTAATCACGGTTGCATCCAAGCCACCATTCAAATCTGACATTCTTAGTTGTTTATAAATTTGCAAAACTAATTACTTGCAGGCAGTGTTTACATTTAAATGATCAGTTTTAATATATACATTGGTTGTGTTTAATAGGTATCTGTTTTATATGCTCTTTGGCGTTGTGTTTATCATTTGTTGTTGTTCCCCACCTCAAATAAAATATGGGTAAAACATATATCATGATGATGATGATGTGATGGGAAAAAGTTCTTTCCAGATACATCTTCATAAAAAGCTATATAAAAATAAA